AATTAATGCCAAGACAAACAACAGGCAAAAGCTCAAAAACTGAGAAATCATCAGCGCGAAGTAAATTCGGCTTAACATACATACATAAGCGGATATAAAATAAAAATTGAGAATTGTAAAAGCCAATAATTAAAAAATTTAAAAATATAAACAGATTCATATCAGGAATCAGGTAAAAATCAACATCTATATCTAGATCTTTCAATAATTATCTTAGAATGATGGTGTTTAAATAAATAAAAAATGAACACATTTTGAAGGACCTGTATTTTAAATTTTCGGGTTAATGCATTTTTAGTTACTAAAATCAAGCATGACAAATCCTGTCGCTTACGAATAAAAATCTTCTCTTTCAACGTGATTATCCTCAGCCATAATGGGCTTAAAATCGATATTATTGATATTTGACTCTGTTTGAAACAAACAAATAACTAATTGCTCCGAAAAAAGCTATATGTAGGAGATAGGTTTAAATGTAATAGTAATTATAAAAAATATTTCATTGTGGTTGACCACAGCTCCGATTACCAGAGAGTTTATATAGACAGACGACTGAGCAGCAAAAAAATGAGTCTTCAAATGGGTGAACAATTAAAAGATTTTAATAGCCGTAAGCTGAAAATCAGAAACATATACCATATACATATTTCTATATTTTTTCATAGTTTTTACAGTTGAACATGACAACTCATAAAAAAGCAGAAGGAAATTTTCAAACAAACTGTGTGGGCTGTTAGGCGGACCATACGGGCGGGATATACATATTTTGAGGCGTCATTCGGCTCAAATGATAACTGTCAGGCGCTAAAAATGACAATAGGTTTAGTGCTGTGTTGGCCATGTTTGTTGATGCGTCGTTAAACTTTTCAGCCTCACGCATCGCACACATAAAGCCCTATGGGGCACATATCAATGCCTTATGTAGGAGCGTATATCCGAACGCGGGCACCAGGGCCAACGCAGCGGCTGAAATTGAATTATAGCTCTCACACACACACACACACAAACACACGGACGGACGCATACAAACACACGCATACACACACACACCAACACAATTGTATAGCTGAAGCCTGACATATCGAGCGAGACGTAATGAAATATCTGACTCTCTGACTGCATAACGCTGTGACGTCGACGTCGTAACGGTAACTGAAATAGAAACGGTCGCACACCAAAGGGGGTCGGGGCCATGGGCTTGGCTATGGATGTGGCTATGCAAACAGCAGCAACCATGCCACATTGTTAGACTCTTTCATTTTCAGCTTCGCATTTATGTATCTCGCACGTTTTTGTTGTTTGCTGTTGTTGTTGTTGTTGTTGATGTTGCCGCTGTTACTGTAAAATATGGCTACGGCCGCAGAAATATAACAGCAAATAAAATGAAACAACGAGAAAGAAAAACACTTCTATTCTAGTTAGCCGAAGATGAAATACCCTAACAGACATCGAAATTAACTTGATCTTTTAACAGGTGTACCATATAGAAAAATATGCTTCCAGACGACAGAATCCAGATCCCTGGCATTAGGTTCGGTTAACTTATTTAACTTATTTAACTTATTTATTCACTTATTTATTACAAAAACAATGGTTGTTTTTTTAGTCAAGTTATTGGTCCCTTAAAAGCTATATATTTGAAACCTTAATATCTTTGACGGAAATGGACTTGGACTTGGGCTTCAGCTCGGTTTAATGTAAGGTTCGGTTTTAGTCTGATTTGACATAGTCAGAGACACAATTTTAAACGATTTCCTATATAAAGTTGCGATCTGATTCCTTCCGCTTTAAAGAAATGCAGTGAAAAGCGGGGCAAATAAAATTTGCTCAGCAACAATTTCGCATATAAGTGTTGAATAATAATAATATTTAACAGTGGTCTCTCTTCATGTGTCACACATTTGGTTTCAAAATCCGAATGCCCCGTTGCTGAGGCATAAATAAGTTAGGCGAAGCCAACGCAACTGCAGGAGCCAACAACCTGTGCAGGAATCTGAGTTGGCCCGATGCTAGCCTGGCACCGGGACGAGCACCAGAACCGGCACCGGCATCAGCATCAGGACTAGCACCGGTATCGCCATCGTCATCAGCATCAGCATCGGCATCGGCATCGTCGTCATCGGCTTCGTTTTATTCTATTGTTTCATTTCATTTTATTGTCGTATGTCATACAATGGCGTTACATTTACATTTCCCATTAAACTTTTTGCTATCAGTTGTTCTCTATTTGTTGTTGTGCAATAAATTTAAATGCTTTGTAAGCCATTTTCATGAATTATATACAAGCAAGTCTCTTAGTGTGTGTGTCTGTTGGTGTGTGTGTGTGACTATGCGTGCAATAGGCATATAAATAATTCCAATATAAAAGCTTGTTGCAAATAATGTTTTTTCTTTTAAATTCTTTCTCGATAAATCGATTTTGATCGATTATTTTGACACGTTATTATCAGTTGTTATGATAGTTAAAATATTTTTAATCTCATATAGATTTTTATACCCTTGCAGAGGGTATTATAATTTAGTCGTGAAATGTATAACGCATAGAAGGAGACATCTCCGACCCCATAAAGTATATATATTCATGATCAGTATCAACAGCCGGGTCGATATAGCCATGTCCGGCTGTCCATCTGTCTGTTTCTATGCGAACTGGTCTCTCAGTTTTAAAGCTATCTTTATGAAACTTTGCAGAAGTCCCTGTTTCTGTTGCACGCAGTACATACGTCGAAACCTCATGAATCGCACCACTATATCACATAGCTGCCATAGAAACGATCGGCCAAAAATTAAGTTGTTATATGAAAAATATTTTTGTTTATCAAGATATCTTGAGCAAACTCGGCATATATTTATTTTACTACGCTCCTCATATACATGCAAAATCCTATCAACATCGGACCACTGTATCATTTAGCTGCCATAGGAACGATCGGTTTATTTTCCCTGTGCTTCTTAGATATGGGCAAAGCACTATGAGCATTATGAAAAGGTTGGGTCTGCAAGGGTATTAAATATTCGGCGTGCCGAAGATAGCTCTTCTTTCTCGTTTAAAATAATATTGCTGCAATTTTTCATTTAATGGACGATAGAGCTTTAATAAATCGGCTGGCAAACATTTAATTGATAGTTTGAGCACGCATTGATGTGTTTTTTTTATTTTTATTTTTAAAATATTTTATTTGTTAAATAGCTTTAAAGGTCGCTGTTGCCTTTTGCGCCATTTGTGTGTCTTTAGCATAAGTTTTAACAATATAAAAACTTGTTTAGGATTTGTTATGTTATGTTGTGTCGTTTATATTTTGTTGGAGTTAGGGGGTAGTATCTGGGCAAGGGTTCTCCTCTTTAGTCTCCTGATGGGACGGGCACCTTGAAGGTTGCTGGCGAGCCTATTGGCGTGTGTTGTTGTATAGCGCTCAGTTGGTCCTAATTTGTTCTTCAACCCAGGGGATTTACAGATCTCTGTGAAGAACTCTGTTGTGCACGCAATATGGGGATCCTGCCATCCTGCGCAGACTCATGCTTTGAAGGGATTGAACTCTTTTCCGGTTAGATGAAGCAGCCAAGCCCTAGATCTGTATGAGTTTGTAAGTAAGCTAGCCGTTTACTAGATAGGGGGTTGTGGAGCCATTTTAGCTTAGTCAATTTATTTCGGCAGCTTTCCACAATTCCCCTAATGTGGCTGGCGAAAGTTAGGCGCCTATCGATGGTGACGCCCAGGTGTTGTGGTTTTTCTGTTTCAACTGTAATTTAATTTGGTGTATTTGTATTAATTTTTTGTTATTTCTCCCTGTGAAATTACCTATCGTCGCCCGGCAACCTCTTGCTTTTTAGACGACTCTCAAATGCCTCGGCCACCTCGCAAAGCACGCTTATATGGCTGCGTTTCTGTTGGCGTGCTTCATACCGACCACTACCACGTTTTCTCCTACTTGCAAGAAGCATTTTCGAAAACCACTGCTCACTCTCGACCCATAAGGTAGCTTCTGTAGAAATTTCAGTTTCACAGCCCCTCCTGTTTAATCTGTGCGTCATCAGTCAGTCACTCAGTCATGAAAAACACTTTTATATTTATAAACTATATTATTTATTGAGTCTACTAAAAAATGCTGACATACATAAGTAAAAATACTTTACAATGAAAGATCTAATAAATATATATTTGTAATATATTCCAAAAACGATAAAGAGCGCCACATTTGCCCGTTCGGACTAGACTCTTTTTGCATTATTATATTTCTTTATTAATTTTTATTAGTACTCATTTTTCATTATTATTATAATTTGTATTGCCGAATTGGTTTATTTATTTCCATTGCATTGTAGCAGCTGATGAAACCGAATGCAATTATTCCTTAAATTCCTAAAGCGAACGCCACGCCAGGTTCCAATAACAATATGCAGCTTTATAGTGTGTGTGTACGAGTGGATGTGTGTGTGCGCTTGTGTGCGGCCCACAAAAGTATGCATCAAAAAACAGCCGAAATCACTCAGAACAATTTTGAGATGAAAAAAAAGCAAATGAAATTGCAAACAGTAAACGGAATATTGATTCAAGCTTGCACACAAGCATTCCTCACGTGCACACACACACACGCACACACACATACACACCATACCACATAGACCAGGTTGTCAGGTCGCTACTTGCAGATGCAACAATTTGTCATTGAAATGCAAGCGCATGAAAAACTAAAAACCAACCGAAAAAAAAAAATAGCCGACACCGACACCAGCAACGACGGTGCTGTTGCTGGAAAAGCTGTTGCTGCTGCTGCTGCGGCGCATTCTTCGTGGCAGCAACACGGCCGCCACAGCAACAGCAGCAGCAGCAAAGACAAATACGAAGAAGGATACGGCCGAGTCGCGGCCATGGCCGTGTGTGCAATTGCCGAGCGCCTTATATCGTATACGATAAGCGCACGACCAACAGTTGCTCGCAACTGGGAGCTGGTTGATAGGCAGCTTGGCGGCCAGGCTAAGGCACAGTCCACACTCGTCCGTTGGGCTGCACAGACGCGTTGCACGGCAGTTGACAGGTGTTTTTCTCAAGTGTCGCGTAACGGTTGAACAGAGATTTGAATATTTGAACATTCACTTTTGTGACAAGTGCAGGCAAATAATAGTTGCAAGTGCAGTTGAACGTTTCGCAAATTCAGAGTTGCGTTTGCTGTTGATGGCCGTGGCGCCTGCGTCGAAGGCAACTGTTGCTGCAGCTGCTCAAGTTGTGCATGTAAGTTGCAACACACACACACACACACATATATGTATAAATTTATATAAATATATACAAATATATATATAAATGAATAGACAAAACAAAGCTGAGATTGCGCCATCAATCCTGGCATGAAATTAGATCAATCAAACTTGTTGTGCTACGATATGTGTAGTACTATCGATTTACAACCAAACACACACAAATCACACACACACACACACACAAAACAAAAACACAACCACAACACACATGCCGAACAGATACTCAGCTAGACAGGTGCCAAGCTAAGGTACATCTGCCTAGAAAAGTATTCTAAAAATATGTAAGCTCACAGGGCAGACGACGACAACAGCCTCCGGTTTCGCTGGCTGTTGGATTAAAGCCCAAGCCTGAATGCATAAGGCAGGAAAATTGCGGCAATCTAAAATTGAATTTTAAACTAACGGCTTATAAATAAATTAAATCTATGCCAAGCAGAACGATTCAGACATAGATTGGCCCAAAAGCAGCGCTCTTTTTCAGCCACTCATGCATTTTCAAGATAGCCACCCATTTTTAAGCCATCAATGCATATTTAATTTGAATTCAAATTGCAAAAAAAAAAAATAAGCTGCGCAATTTGAATTCTATAATATTCCATTAAATCGAATGGGCGCATATTTAAATTATCCTTATACAAATTTACATACCTTAATCACAGTTCAAAAAATAAAAAGCAAAAAATTTCCTATAATTCATTAGATTTCTTTAAAAAAAAAGATAATATTTTAATTGCCAAATGCCCAACAAATTCCTCTGACTGCAATATCTAATATACGGACTTGTTTTAGATAACCCATTCCATAACTTATATATGTAAACTCTTTTTAATTGATATTTTAAATAATTTAAATTGATAAAACATCGAAATCTAAATATCAAATTGTTCTCATAGTTTTTTAAGCACAAAGCCATTCTAAAAAGTCGGAATGGAATCGGGATTAAATTTAAAACAGACCTCATACATACAATCACGAATGGTATTTGAAAAGCTTGGTTTTTTTTTTATAAATTAGCACCATCAACCCACAAGGCCTAAATACCAAAAAATGTGCAGGTTATTCGTTTAGTTCGTATAGCCTCCCAGCTCTATCCTTAGAATTGCAAATGTCTGGTCCCCTATTCGAAGATTTAACTTGATGAGAATTGCAAACGGCAATTAATGATATTTGATTCATTTGTATTGTTTGAATATGATTTTCATTATTTAAAGTAGTTCGGTAAGTAAAGTTGTAACTTAAATTATTTACAATTTTGAAGTGTGCTTAATTAAATAAATTTTATATATTTCTGAGGAAATAATAACCACAATTTTAGTTTTCCTCTCTAAACTACAGCTTTAAAGTGCCGCATAAGTATCTTATGGTTAAGTTGAACTACTCTGCAAAAGCCCGTTTTAATACCTTTTCTAGTTGCGAAAATGCATTAACATTTGCACATGCTTGTGGGCCAAGTTGTTCAATATGTTGGCCAACTGCAGCAGGCCAAAGTTTTTAAAGTGCTTGACCGCAGTGAGCTTCACCTGTGGCCAGCTGAAAAGCAATAAGCAATGAGCCTAACCCACCCTGACCCCACCTCCACCGCCACCACCCAGCGTTCTCTCATCAACCCGTTTTATCAGTTGAGCTGCCTTTCAGGGGCCTGTCAGCAGCCAGAGTGGGTCTGAGGGTTTTATAGGGGGGCATTGTCTGGTATGCCCCTCGCTTGCTTCCGACTGGCCAAATCGGAGACTATAGTATCCATATCCATTGAAGTGAATGTCACTCACAATATTGTGTAAAAGTTATTCGAAAACGAGCTACACCGAAATGATTTCCGTGAAAAGAAATGTGCTTAAAGGCATGCCAAAAATCAATGGAAAGCGTCTCCGCCCCAGGGCCAAGTGAAAGGCGGCATTTAATGCACAGCAAATGCCGCTGGTGGGCGTGTCAACGCCCCGCACTTAAATTACAACTTCACACACTTGTATAACGTGTAATAAGAACAAAAATAAAAAGAAACAAGAGTGAATGGCTATCATCAGCAAGCAAAAGATTGAATACTCTATTTATCACGTGGCTAACAATTTATTTTATACGGAAGCTTAATTTCTGATCGATTGTGCCTATAGAATTTATATAATATTGTAGTCCAGTTTGACAGAGTTGTGGACACAGTTTAGAAGTATAGTTAGGCACTTCATTGCTGAATTCGGTCCAGATTTCTTGAAAAACGGAATATAAACTCATTAATCAGTGAAGTCTTCCCATATTCGATATATAATTGACATTGATAATCTCTTACTCTTATGTAAGGCAAGTAGTTCAATTAGTTAATAGCAAGATTAGGCTAGATATCTTGAAAAAAGTCGTTGTTCAGAGTAGAATTTGTTCTGATCGACTTTCCTTGACAGTTATATGTTTTAGTGGTCTAATTTGGCCCTATGCAAGGTTTCTTAGCATTAGATTTAAACAGACCGAGAGTTGGCATAGAAACGGCCTGACAGATATGGCTTTATCGATTCGCCATGTATTGCCCATCAATAATAAATATATGAATTATTATGTAGAAAGCGGCTGTTTCTGTGCGCTACACATTTTAAGACAAAATTATAATACCCGCTGCAAGGGTATAACAAGCCACAACACGAAAAGCGCAAAAGGAAATCCAACAGCGACCAACTGACAGAGGGTGGTGGGGGGGAATAGAGGGGCCTCCCAGGCAAGCTAGTCATCGACATGTTGGTCATAGTCATCATCTTGGGCCGCATTTTCGCTTAAGGAAATTTGTGTGTCAGAAGCAAAAATATGAGGGAGAAAAAAACAAAGTATACAACTACTTTTTTTTTGGGAGGCGTGTGGAATGGCGCTTTACAGTCCCCAGCGGCCTGATTAAATTCGTATGCCACAGCCCAGTTCGGCCGCAAGAAAAAAAAATGGCCAACCGCCAAGAGAGACACTGAAGCTGGCACAGGATGCGTTTAGTGCGGCGCGCAAATGATGAAATAAACGAAACTAATCCAAAAGAAAGCCCAAAACGCGAGCGCAAAATTCCAAAATATTTACACTGCCAACCGCAGCCGCCACTGGCCACCGCCACGCCCTGGCCCTGCCCCAGTAGGATGAGGCCAACCGGCTGCTGTGATAAACATCTTTGCCAAGTAAGCAACAATTTTTGTGCCCCAAATTGGGGTTTTCTCTTCACTTGGCTTTTTTTTTTGTATTTTTCGGTAGGGTGGCTGATTGGATGACGAGGCTTAGCGCGTGCAGGCAAATATTTTTAATGATTTTTCCGTTCAGGCGCTTCGCTTCGATCTGAGCGTTTGTTTTTTACGCCCCAGTTAGTGCGAAACTAATTATATTGAATGCCAGCGCCAGCGTAGATATGGAAACAGAAGCTTGGACAAGAATTTCCAATTACGGACCAAAATCAGAGATTTCACACACTTCGACTCGACATTTTCTCGCCTTCAGTCATCGTCAGTCAACAGAGTAACACTGCTTGGCAACCCGTGCCCTATGTGTGAAATTTAATCGAATCACATAGCAGCGCAATTTTTTAAAACTGCGCGAAAATTCTGCTATCTCAAAGAGCTGAAGTTGATATACACTGCCTTAGACTAAGTACATGCACGATTGAGCCAAGCCCGTAACGTGCTTAATCAAACTGACATTTTCATAGATTAAGTACAACAATTTTTAGCTTCAATGCATATTGTTGATCTTCAAGATTGATTATTTTAGAAAAGTCCTGTATTTGAAATTGAACGTTACAATAACCCATCTTTTCTCAATATTTTTACTTGATTCGAGTAAAAGAATTTCTAAATTTTTCACGTAGTTCATTTATCATATTAATCATACAAATGCAAGACAATTTATTTATTAATAATATATTATGTATAAATTCTATAAGATTTTATAATTATGTTTTTATTTCAGTAACACAAATCATCAATCTGTATTATATATATATAATATTATATTATTTGCGGTGTTTTTATGAACATATATGTGTATATATTCTCGAAATCCGTACGAATGAGTAAATCATTATTTGTATATCGCCCCCATTCGTAATTTCCAAAAATGATTTTCAAGCATGCCTCGATAATTATATACGCTTTCCGTATAGTTATAGACAGTTTAAAAACGACAGTAAAGACAGTTTAATAATGCCTTGAGCCTAGATAAATTCATTAGCCAGTCCTTCCGTCTGGTTCTAATGCACAGAGCTCAATTTCTTTTCTTACCAAACTGCATCACAAATTGTTAATGCCTTTGGCAGTGTGTGGTTCAATCGGGCACCACGTGAGTCCATTTATTAATTTTTTTTCCTTTACTTCTTATTTTTTCTTCTGCCTGCGCTGCATGCAAATTTGTATCACGTTCGCGGACATTTCCAATGAAAAGTGGCAAGCAGAAAGGCTGGTATGCTGCTGTCGGCTGATTCTTGTTGCGTTTTGTTGCCGCTGCTAATGCAAAATTATGGCTTTCAGCTGAAACACGCTTCTACATTTCCGTTTCCGTTTGTGCTCTTGTAGTTTTAATGCATAGCACGCAAAACTGTGTGTGCCTCGATGTATGTGTGTGTGTGCGCACGTGTGTTTTTGAATGAGTGAGCAACACGTTTCCTTTGACATTGATTCACTCGCGCGGCAGCTGGAAGGATAATGTTTATCCTTTAGCCTGTACTAAACATGATCAAAGTCAGCATTTTTTAACCTGAAACTTGGAATGAGCCTAATAAAAAAAGCCGTTTTATGTGGAATTATGCTTGCCTAACTGATTTTTTTTCGTGTATATGGCAAACTTTTTTCACCTGCACTTTAAATAAGGCACAGCCCTTAGCTGCACTCGCTGCAGGACGCGTCTCTAGCCAGCAAGCCGTACATCCTTCACTTGGCCAGCCAATTAGGCCAACACAAGTGGCCAGAACGTGTGCTTCCACCCACTTAACAGCTCCTGGCCGGGCTTAGCCTTTGGTCAAGCCCT